GGTGGAAAGGAGCAGACCAGCGGCCAACAGAAGTATAAATCAAGAGGCAGCGTCCAGCAATTCATTCATTCTGCTGCGAGCCAAGCGGAAGCGCTGCCAGTGCGTCTTGTGGGAGGTGGTCTGCAGATGCACGAAGCCGAAGTGGGCTGTCGAGGGAGACAGAGAAGCCATAGCTGCTAGTAGCGATAGGGTTAGCGGGCAGCCATAGCTGCGCCAGGTTAGAGGATAGGGTTAGCGGGCAGCCATAGCTGCGCCAGGTTAGAGTAGTCTCCAGTGTGTGTGTGTACAGTACTGAGTGAGTGTACGTGGATATCCAGGGGGATCCAGTGTGAAGAGTGCATGAGCAGTTGAGGTAAACACTGAGTTGGGGAAGAGTGAGCGCTCAGGCGCCATAGCCAAGTTGCAACGAGTTTGTATCTGAACTGTGTTCTCGTCTTGAATATCTCTCAGCTTTGTGAGGGCGCCCAGCGCCGGTGTGTTCTGTCATCTCTTTGCATGCATGTGAAGTAAGAAGAAGCGAGTCTGATTGCAATATCATCGCTTACTTGTCGTACAGGCTGGGTGGCCATGCAGGTAGTTTTGAAACTTTTCAATTTTTCGGATGCAATCGACAAAACTTGAACAGAGGGAAATTGCGCTGACGTCCCTATGGCGTACTGGGCTTATCCAGAAAGCCCTACACCACAGGGCATGGACAATTGGACAATTCCTTGTATGTCCTGTGCATTTGCATAATGTGTGCATCATTCTTGCGCGTCATCTCTGTCTTCTTCTTTTTTTTTTTTTCCCTCTCTTTTGATAACCATGACCAGAAATGCAAAGCAGGAACTTGTCCTTTTTTTTTTTTTTTTCCGGAACGTGCCGAATTTAGAAGAGCAGTCTTAAAACTTGAAACCGCCCCTCGAAACGCAAATTTTGGTTGTGTCTGTCTGAGTTGTGCCGATTGTCAATTTCGCTCTGAAGGTGTTTTATCACGACAAGGCGACAAGAAGAGCTGCGGACATACAGCTTATTGCTGGACAAGGTAAGTCGATTTGGTGAAGATTGAAGCATGTCCATATTTGGGGGGGGGGGGGGGGTTTTTTTTTTTTTTTTTTTTTTTTTTTTTTTTTTTTTTTTTTTTTTTTTTTTT